TGAAGGCCCAGTCATGGGGCAGAACCCCATTGTCCCACGAGCTGGACAAAAAGACAGTTGCTGCCCCAAACAGCTTATAATCTAAGGACAAGACAAGCAACAAAAGGTGGATACAGACAGGGGAACACAAGGAAACAGTGAGACAATATTGGTTAGCATGATAGGCAATGGTCTCTCCACACCAGCAGCCTAACTGTCGTCAGTTTTTTTTGTAAGCCACACAGCAAAGGAGAGTTAGAAGAAGGACAATGAGGTACCTTTGCTGATGTTTACAGAGGAACTTCTCCCAGGTATGAGGGGCAACATGATAGAATGCACAAAGATGCTTGTTTGAAAATTTAGCAAGTGGGCAACGGAGGCAGGCATCCTGGGCCAATCGGAGTTGAGAGTCGGCATTGTGCTAGTGAATGACAGATGGGATAGGTATGGTGCAGTAGGGCGTGAACGGCTTTGAAAATGAAGAGGAGTCATTTTTATGTATGATGTGATGAACAATGGGGAGCCAGTGGAGGGCTACAAAGAGAGGTAACATGGACAAAGCGATGAGACAGGGAAATGATCTTTGCAGGAGTGTTCTGAATGGATGTAAGTGGAGCAAGATTACATTTGCCAAGGCCGAAGAAGAGGATGTTGCAGTAATCGAGACGCAAGATTATGAGAACTAGGATAAGAGATTTGTTTGTTCTCCTGGATTAAAGTTTGTCTCGTTCCTGCATCCAGTGAGAAAAGCAGGGTGGAAGGGGAATGGATCAGAAAGGATCAGGGTGAGCTAACCTACCAGGAGTAGATGAAGCAGATGAAATAGGGCAAAGACACCACAAGCTGCAGCCAGCGCCAACTGGGGATGGCGTAAGCCACCCCAGCCAAAATGAACTGTCCGATTGTGTAGCAGTATCCATACATTTTGCCCACAACGGCCCGTGTGCGGGTGGGTGTCCATTCCACAGCTGGGGAGAGACACACAAAAGGGAAAATAATCTCTCTGTCCTTGGGCTGATGACCTCCAGTGGTGAGAACCAGCACGAGCGGAGGCAGCAGGAACATGTACAAACAGCCTTCCCCTGGCTCTTTGAGGCTGAGATGAAATAACTCCCCAAAACCTGCATTCCCCGAGCCATGCCTCCTTCCCCTGCTAGTTGTATCTCACCTAGTGGTAGTAGGTGGTACTGCACCCTGCTGGAGGCGCTCCATTCCCCCTCCCTATGGCAGCAGCCAGTACTGCGCCCTGCAGCAACTCCAGTCCCCCAATGGCAGCAAGCAGTACTGTACCCTGCAGGGTTGCAAACACTCCAGAAGACCCCCCCCAACGGCAGCAGGCTGTACTGTACCCTGCAGGGTTGCAGCAGCTCCAACACCCCACAATGGCACACTTATGCACCCTGAAGTACATCAGCCACAATACACAGCTGTTATGTAATTGAATAGGCTGAGTCCCATTAGCCTCTT